AACTCTCGACCTCAGGATAACTCAGATTTGCTATGAGACCTACGCGCTAGCCAACTGCGCCACCACCCCAGTTGTGTACCCATTCACTGTTTTATCATCCAAAACCGATTCTTGCCAATGAAATCATGGCTTCGTCCACTTTCTTCCTTCATTCTCACTGTAACGATGGTTGGTATTTGCAAATTCCATCTCTTTCTTGTGGATAGGTAAGAGTGTCAGTTCAATGATTTTCATGAGACGATAAGGGAACACCATCTTCACATAGCCATGGAGGTTTAAAACCTGTCATCTCACTTCCAAGACCATACTCTCTGAATTCATCGCATACAGTCAGCAATTTTACAAAAAACCAAATATGGGTTCACAAATTTTATATTTGAATGACAAGGAAATTTCCAGAATATGAGTTCTAGAAATTTTGGGAAATCATATTCGAAGGGCATAATCGTAACGGTAGTTTTACAAAATACAAAATATGAATTTGAATTTGGAGAGAAAAGAAAGAAGGGGGGGGGGGGGGGGGGGGGGGTTCGCTACTTCGCCATGGAGGTTCAAGCTTTCTTCAAAAATCTGGTCTGCAGGTCTCTTTCCTGTTATCATCTCCAACAACAAAATTCCAAAACTCCATGAAAGACGGTATTCCTCCTAGATTATTGTCGAGGGCCGATATGCTTTCGAGAGAAGTGAGGTTCGCCATGAAAGACGGTATTCCTTAGGTTAATCGGGTTAAAAGAAATTTAAACAACCAAATCCAATATTCGTGGTTTGAAAAATCTTAATCTAAACCAAAGTGCATCTCAAATCATACGAGTTTGTCGGGTATGGGGATCGAAACTCCTCTTCGGTTTTTGTTGGGCCTATCCTCGGTCCACCCCTTGTTTATCCCCGGTAAACAATAAATGGTTCAAAAACTAGTCAAAATTGGTTGAAAAATATACTATATTATACAACACATTAAAATTATATGATTTTATTTATATACATATGGGGATGGGGCGGGTTGGGGAATACATTACCTGGCCTCGGATCCGGTACCCATTTCTACAAGGAATCTCTGCCTCGAACGGGGCGGGTGAACTGGTCCCCAACAAAGCGGGGCAAATCGCCATGTTAGTCAGGTTGATATTTTGGTACATTAAAATATTCTTCTAATCTTAAAATATGTTGTTTAGTCTACTTATAATTCGTTTTTCATTATCAGTCATTTGGTACAAGTTATCCATCATTTCTAAATCTCAAATATATCACGTTCGACTACTTTTTTCAATTTGCATATACATATTCACATTTATTGAATATATATAAAGATATTTAGTTATATAACTTTAAATGAGATTTTAATTAAATATATGACTTTCTAATGAGTATAAAACCATTTTTTAATAAGTCAAGAGGCCATAAATTTAATTAAAAACTCATATTAGATCAAATCACTAAATGTCTCACATATATACAAAGGAGTTATATAAAGATGGAGAACAATATGTACATGAATAGGGTACGTGATGGTGTGATTATCTAATGTACATATTTATAGACTTGACAATTAAATTAAATCGAAGAAATAATAGGGTATAAGGTTCACCGGGTTGGATTGGATTCAAATAATTGTAACCTAATTTCAACCCAATACATACGGTTTTGAAGATTTTACAACTGGCTTAAATATCGGGTTGGGTTATTTCGCGTTAGGTTAGGTTAGATTGATCGGGTATTTGAGCACCCTAATCTCTTCATTGCCCAAGTTTGTTTCATCATTGTCCAAGTTTGTTTCAAGCTTTCCAAAACTTATTTCCTTCAAAAAATTTGACCCCTAAAAGTTTTTTAGCTAAACTTGTGAAGTCATAAATCTAAAAAAAGCATTAACACAGAAGATACGGAAACGAGATGGATTTCTATCATGCATGTGAAGAGATGTTTAAAAACATCTAAAATCACAAAGGCAGTGCCTCAAAAATTGTTCATAACAAGAAGCTCATTTGCAGCAATAAGATTGTGACCAAAATTTTATTGAAACTTAGGCCTACAAGGGAAGGAAATTTGGTAATGAAACCATCCCAGATGTAGTTATAGTTACCTCTTCTAACCTTTAAACATTGGCCCTAATACATGCTTCCTCCACCAATTGAGCTGCAACTCCAACATAGTTGTGGGGGGTCAACTTCAGGAGCTCTGTCTTTGCTTCAACCGGTATTTCTAACCCGTTAATGAATTCTGTAATGCTCTCTTTCGTAACTGCTCTTCCTCTCGTAAGTTCCTTCAGTTTCTCATAAGGCTCCTCGACATCATATCTTCGCATCACCTACACATACAAACATCCACCAACATCTCCATAGGTGAAATCGCAGACAATTTCCATGACATCTAAATGAACAAAAAAGAACTCCATACGAGAATATATATAACAAATTCCCAATAAATGCAACCATTTCCCATGTTGGCAAAATTTCAATTCAAAATCACATTTATGCCCATTAGTAATCAATTATGTTGATTTCAGTCCATAAGATTCTCTCGTTTCGTCATTATTCTGACATTTTAAATATGTGACTCATAGTCAAAAATCTTTGCTAAACTATGCTCAATCAACAATTAAAACATTGCATTTATTTTGTAAAAGAGGGAGTAATGAAATGAACTGAAGAAAAAAGTAAAAATAACTAGTTGGGAAACAGTCCCATGGAACACCATTGAATAATCCACCTCGAAATCTTGGAGTGGTTTATGGTTATTTATAGCATATCATGTAAATAAGTAATCCTGCTCCCCTATGCCTAGGTCTATGAATACTTTGTTATGATAAATAAAATATGGAGCAAAAAACAACTGAAACACAAAAATATAAAGTAAACACGTTCACAATCTTGCAAAACAATGTAACAGAACCATTTTCAAGAAGATATAAATTTTGAAAGCAAGATACATACTGTCTGTATTGGTTCAGCAAGAACCTCCCACGAGTGGTCCAGGTCCTTGTTTAAGGCAGCTTCGTTGACCTACCACAAAAGAAAAAATTAGAACAAGCAGAAAGCTACGAGACAACATACTCCTTTTCTTTTTCAGAAGGATGATGTTCACATTCAGTTTGAATTCTAACCAAACAATTGAAGTTTATGTGAACACTTAAAAACCAATTCATTGTGGGTTAGAATGCCAACAAAGCAACTTCGAAAGCTAGCATTACAACTTATATATGCATAAACATGCAAACAGAATTTTATTTCTACTTCATTTTATTTTAAATGATTGGCATCTACAAGAGAAGTTAACTTTTTCGGGTATAAAAGACCTTCCATGAAACATCAAAAATTCAACTCCTTTATTACCTGAAGCTTCCCAATTCCTACTAGTGCACTCTTGTAAGCGAGAAGTGAATAACCCAAGCCCACACCGATATTTCTCAGAACGGTAGAATCAGTCAAGTCACGCTGCAAATGTGATAGCAATTATGTTAAGTAAATGATTGCATAGTGATGGCAAAAACATCAAGGTCATATTCCTAACCAGAAAACTTAAGTAAAGTAGGCATTGCCTCGAAATCCTGCCATTTAGGTATATATACCTGCCAACGTGAAATAGGCAACTTCATGCTTAAATGGTCTAAAATTGCATTAGCTATTCCAATATTGCCTTCGCTGTTTTCAAAGTCAATGGGGTTCACTTTGTGAGGCATTGTTGATGATCCAATTTCACCGGCCTTAGTTACCTGCACAACTATTTACAATGTCAAGATCCAATAGTTATTGATAAGAAGTACTTATAATTATGACAAAAAAGTACATTGAAACATGCACCTGCTTGAAGTAGCCCACAGAGATATAGCCCCATATGTCTTTATCAAAGTCAAGTAAGATGTTATTAAAGCGGATGAATGAATGGAAAAGTTTAGCCATGTAGTCATGAGGTTCAATCTGCATCAAAGATATGGTTTCAGATATTTCGTCAACAACTACCGCAACTTCAGATAGTTGTTTTAATTTACAGTTCATATATAGCCAAAAGTCATCAAACACGTCTAAAGTCAAAGATTGAAGAGAAGGATAAGAAAGCTTTGTTAATAACTATTTCAAATTGCTGATAAGATTTTTTTAATTTGGGACAATAGAACAGCTATACCAGTTTAAGGACTTCCCCTCCTACCATCTACTTAATATGATTGATTAGCCAGAAAACCGAAACATGCATAAACAGAATAGGAAGAAATAAACATATCTAAAGTAGCCAGGTGTGTAGAACATGCCTGGGTCACGTGTGGATTAAAGCTTAATCCAACAGAGTTCACAAACTGCTCTGCAACCTGTGGCCAATTTACATCAGGATATGCAACAACATGTGCATTGTAGTTACCAACTGCACCTGCAAACTTCCCCAATATATCTATCTGGGAAATATCTCGCCTTTCTCTGCTCAGCCTCTCAGCAAATATTACCATTTCTTTTCCCAACGTTGTAGGTGTAGCTGGCTACAGAACAACATAAAAAAATTGAGTACCCAATTCATACTTACAGATGTCATAAACTAACAGAAATTTCAAGATATAAACGGCTCCCGATTAGAAAGGTTACATCATCAGTAAGGCTAAATAATAGAAGGCATCACCCAGTATGCATGATTCTCACTCTTGGTGAGTATATTTACATGTGCCGCTGGAATTCATAGTTAATATTAGAAACACAGAAAATCGATGCTCAAAAGAAGGATTTCCTTTATTCGCTCTCTTTCGTATGAAAGACATCCATTGACAACAAATGAAAAGATGGTTCCACAATTAAAAAAAACTACCTGTCCATGAGTCCGAGAAAGCATAGGAATGTGAGCATTAGCCTTTGCCATCGTATATATTGCCTTAAGTAAATCATCCATAACCGGAAGAATAACGGAGTTAACTGCTTCTTTCAGCATCAATCCATGTGCAAGGTTGTTTATGTCTTCAGATGTACAGCCAAAATGAAAAAATTCAAGCACCTGTATGAGTTCATTGATATCCGCATTAGGAATTTAGGATAGGGACAGGGATAGGGAGATCATTTATTGATTCAAATATTCAATCAAGATGTTACATGCCTACACAACTGGCATTGCCATTTGAAAAAGAAAATTCTACATGTAGAGTTCAGAAATAAGATTATATCAGAATTTACACATGCTAGGAAACTTGCACACATAATAGATACACACCTTAGCTATTTCTGGATCTTCTTGACATTTTGTTTTAAGAAAATACTCCACTGCTTTGACGTCGTGGTTAGTTATTCTCTCGATATTCTTCACTTGCATTGCATCAGCATCGCTGAATCCATCAATCAATCCTTGCAATTTCATTTGAGCTTCATTGCTAAAGCTGGGAACCTCAGATACTTCAGGAACTTGTGAGAGCTTCAGCAGCCACTTGATCTAAGTTCAAGGGAAAAAAAACTGAATAATCAAACATCAAAAAAAGAAGCAACATGCTGGTTCATTCTGATGATAAATAAAATAGACAAGCAAGGTCAGGTGGTTCCACATGAAAGAGAGATAAGATCAGCCTTCTATCATGTCCTAACTGAAGCTCCGACAAATTGAATCACTGTACGTTTAGAAATTATAAAATAACAAAAACAGAAAAGAAACTATCAAACATCAAAATCACTATGGGGTATCCAACCTATCTTCCTGTACCTTTAGAATTACACAAGGATATGTAACAGTTTTAATATCATTATTGTTAAAACATGTTCTGAGAATTCATAGCACAAAAAATGGCACAATAGCAACTAGATCAACATGATAAGCAATCAGATGATGAAATAAGCAACCTACCTCAACCAGGGTCCGATAGTAGATCAGACCATATTCACTCAAATAGCGGGATAAATCCTTAACCTTATTCCAATAACGACCATCCAGGGGACTTATGGCTGTTAAATTTGAGAGCTCCATCTCAGAAGAAAATTCAGAAGACTTCACTTTAACCTGAATCATAAGTAATCTTTCAGGCAATATAAAAAGGGTACTAAGGTACTTAAGGATGTAAACTGTTAAATTAATTATACAATTCAGCAATTCATTATAATGGGAGCTTAAAAGGTTCCAAAACCATTCCCCTTGTTGCGATCAATCACCAATATGTTTTCTCTATTCGAGTTAAGGAGGAGAGTATAATGCAGGATCGAGAAAGATACAATAAACAGCGATGTAAGTACAGTATACAAATATAACTATGTAATAATTACATTGGTTCCTAAAATGGTAAAAGAGCTGATCGTAGTCAATAAGAACACATGCAGTCTTATCAGTCCCATATACAACCAATCAACTGGGCCCCATTTCTAGGTCTTTCCATCATGAAGAAAGTAAAATATACTTAAGCAAGTACATAAACCATGCATCAAACATAATTCACATTTCAAGTCCCAGTAAGGACTCAGGATACATGAAAATTAACTTTGTAACCATTGGCCTCTAAGGCATATATTAATGTAATACACATGATGTGGCAAACTGATAATAGTGTCTTACAGAAAGAAAATACATACAAAAAGAACAGAGCCACGTTCGTCATATTCAACTTGAATATGAACCAACTAGTATCAAATAAGTAGATAATATTTCGAGTAAAGTACAATCTCTGACACCAAACTATCAGGCAAGTTGTCATTGCTCTTCAGAAATCCCCCTTTCAACCACTGGACAAAATCCTTGTGCACAAAAACTAACCAACTTAACAGGTCCATCTAATAAAAACCTTAAGTTAGAAATATGCAACGCACACCCCATTTTAAGGGGAGTTTAGTTGGTAAATCTAAAAAATAAACACTTCACTATTAAAAAAAATCAAATTCAGTAATAAATTACAAAAAATTATGACCTCGTAGACATGGCTGTCATCCTTTTGCTATTAAAAATTGTGTGTGGAAATACAAAATGGAGTAATCTATAGAACCTCGCCGAAGTCATATGTCTAGTCATATTTGACTTGGAACGGCCAACCTAAAGAAGACAGAAGCTTTGCAAATCACATAAGAATGCTTTGTCGATGGTTCAGTTCAACAAAATTGAAATTCAATTCTACCACTCCACAGTTGTCAATCCCCAAGTCATACAGATTAGCATGCAGAAGCATGAACAGTTGGAACACCATCTGAACCCCTATGGCACCAGGTTCAAATTTGAGTATTTTGATTCTGATTTCAAATCATCTTTAGCATATCTTGTTTCAAACAATCAAGTTTGTTTTGATTTTGAGATGAAAATGAGAATCTTGAATAAGCATGCTTTGAAGAACTTTCAAAAAAAATTAAGAAGCAAAAAGAGATGATTACGAGGTAGAACCTAGAACATGTTTTTAGATTTAAATTGATCCTCAAGTTGAATAACACGAAAATGAGAAAGAAGATGGCTGGAAATTACTTCTTTGGCCTTTTAAAAATGTTCATGTGCTGATGTGCATTAACAATTTTTTAAAGAGCACCATTAAGTTGAGCAATGCCCACATAGAAACATTATCCAGTCGGCGAAGTGGGAAATCCAAACCTCAAATGGCAAAAGTGTTACTTGACGGCTAATCTGGTGGCAGGCGCAATCTTTCCAAGTTTTAATGGATACCATATGATGTCGAATCAAAGATGAACGAAATATTTGGCACTCTTAAGCAGCGGTTACAGGCTATGCTGTTAAAATCGCGATATATCGCCGATATATCCGCGATATATCGGATATCGGACTCTGGAAAAATATCGGTGGTGAAATAGCGGTCAAAATATCGCTTCTGATAATATCGCCGATATTTACCGATATTTTGATGGAAAAATCGGTCCGATATACCGATTTTTGGGCTTTTTTATTACATGTCGGGCTTATTTTTTTGGGCCTCTTTATTTGGTCAACCAGTCAACACATATATTAAGTCCCACGCTTCTTCTCTTCTCGGTTCTTCACAATTCACGCTTCTTCTCTTCTCGGTTCTTTCACAGTTCAAGCTTATTGTTTGCGATTAGCTCGTTTTTTAACACTTTTCCTATTTTGTTTTGTGATACTTGTTTATGTAATGTTTTAGTTTTGAAACTATATTTCTAAACTCTAATTAATGCATATGATATGTTTATGGATGCATACATATAATATATATATATATATATAATTCTAAGAAATATTATATTAACCGCTATTTTGGACCGATATATCATCGATATAACCGATATTTTGTATTTTGACCGCAGTAACAGCATAAGTTACAGGTTATAGGAGATAGCATACTTGACGTAATATGGATTTCTGTTGTCAAAGAAATTGCTTAACATGAAATGCTTGATGATCTTTTAAGATTGAATTTAGAAATTACATAGACAGAGAACAAGAAAATGATGAGCAAAAGCTATTAGAACTAATAGTACAGTAATAAAAAATGATAGTAAATAAATAACCTAACAGGACAAAGCCCTTACCTTTTCTACAGCTTCAATATTATTATTGGCTTCCTTCAAAGTTGCTTTGCAAGTGCAACTTCTGCGAGGAAGTGCCACATAAGATGAAGCACGACATGGAGGCAAAACAGATTGTCCACGGAGGGAACTTGCACGGGTAAAGTATGATGTTGGACAGCCACCATCTGATCCTTTAATACAAGCTCCGGTTTCCATAGTGTGTTAAAAGCTTCAAGAGAATGATGTCCAATCAGATTGATGGTGCTTGATATGGGGGGGAGGGGTTAAGTAAATGAGCAGCACTAATCCTCAACTTTTTTGGTTTGAAGTGCATATATATGCTCGAAAATATATGAAAATCTTAAACGCTCTGACACACAAATCGATTCAACCAAGCCTTAACCCACATAAAATTTGGTGAGATCACATAAAAATAAGGTGATTGTAAGAGAATTGCAACAGAAATAGGAAAGGCCACCACGAAAAGAGATCAACCAGTTGCATCTAAGCATCTAGTGCAAATATGAACAAGCCATCAAAATATGTGGAACAAGGTAGCAGGTTAATTACTACAGAGAAGAATGACAGCACTTGTTGAAAGAGTCTGAGAACACAAATCTCCTATCCTTCGATACTACACTTTGATTATTAAATTTAAGCATGATACTTATCCAAATTCAAAACTGAATTGCATTTTGATGCAAATATCAGCATACTCGTAGCACTTCAGATTAACTTGAATTCATCCAGCAAAATTTTGATGCAAATATCAGCATACTCAACAATGTCCAATTTACAACCTCGTCTTCTTTAGTATAGGAAGGCGGTGACGAACCCAGGATTTTTGTCGAGATGAGGCACCTTTAAATTGGATCAAATGCCCACAAAGCCGTCCGATGTGTTTTTAGGTTTTTTGGTTGATTTCAAGAGAATTTTTCGGTTTTTTGGTTGATTTCAAGGGGCCTTAATCAGTTCTTTGGGTTGATTTCGTAGAATTTCTCAACTTTATGTATTTGATTCTCGTTATACTTCACTTCATTAGAATGTTATGCAAATTAAAATTAACTAACCAAATTTAGAGAGCCCTAGATTGATTAAACAAATTAACATCAACAAGACAACAACTAAGGTTGACAAAACTAAAAATAAGCTAAGAAAATTAACATCAAATTAACATACTACTCAAATGTAAAAACTCAAAAATGAATAAATAAATCATGTAAAGAAATCAATGAAATCATGTAAACATAATTGTATAACATTATAACTAATCAATTTAGGGCAAATGACTAATATCAAATTTAGGGTAAAATTCTAAATTTGAGTTAGGTTATGGATAAAACCTGAACGAGAGATTGAGAGAGTGAGTGTGATAGCCTGACAGAGTGAGAGTCGAAAGAAGTGACCGCAGCGGCGGAGCCTGAGAGGCTGAGAGTGAGAGACCTCGCAGGCAGAAGCTTCAAGCCGAGAGAGGCAGAGGCGGAGGCTATCGGCGCTGTTTGTGTTTAAAAATGTGAACTCCCAACTCTCACTCCTTTATTAAAGGAGAATCAAATATATTACAGTTTTGGTCCTCCATCTTTGTATTTTGTTTAATTACTATTTCATAAATGATCCCTCCCATTCCCATAGACATAGTCCCATGTACGGAGAAATGACATGAAAATGGATCAGATTTCATTTGGTCCCTTAATTTTTAAGATTGGTGCACCTTTAGCCCAGTTATTTCTTAAATATTCTGAAGCACCCTTCAATCTTTAGCGGGTATACTTTTTGTACCCTCAAAAAATTTCTTCTTACAATTTTAGATTGAACGGGTGAATGAGACCCCGTTCCCTAGCCTATAGGTCCTCCCCTATTCATTGGAATGAGTTAGATTCAAACTTTAACTCAATTCTAACTCAATAAATGCGGTTTGGCCTATTTTGTAAATTTAAGTGCCTAATTACTTGGATTGAGTTTTTTTGGGATTTTCGGGTGTGGTTGGTCGAGTTTTTTGAACACTCCTAGTATCAGATGTTGTAAAAAGGGTATTATAGTAATCTTTTGATTCACTCTTATGTTGTTCCAACTATTTTAATGAAATAAAAAAAAATCTTAAGTTTTGCCCCATGAAAATTAGGTCCCACTTACAATTTGCAGGAATAAAATGAATTTTTTGGGGGGG